CTTACCTCTAAAAAATAAAATGATTAGTAACACACCTACATGCTACCAGCTTTGATTTGAGAAAATGAATATCCTACATTCTTCTGATATTGAAATTTAAGTTAAGTGCTGGGAATGTGGCCTAGTGGTAGAGTGCTTGCCTAGTATGTATGAAGCCCTGGGTTCAACTCCTCAGTACCACATAAACAGAAAAGGCCAGAAGTGGCACTGTGGCTCAAATGGTAGAGTGTTAGCTTCGAGCACAGACAGGCTCAGAGACAGTGCTCAGACCCAGAGTTCAAGCTCCAGGACTGGCATAAATAAATAAATAAATAAATTCAGGTTAGGGATACAGCTCAATAGTAGAGAGGCAGCAATCATAGGTGAAGCCCTACATTAGTTCCTAAACACAGATAAGAGGAAATGAGAGGCAAGGAGAAGGGAAAAGAAGGCGTAGGGGTGCAAAGGAAGGAAGGAAGGAAGGAAATGAGGGAAGGAAGCAAGAGAAGAAAAGGAAGACAGAAAGGGAAGAAAGACAAAAATGAAATAAAGACAAAATTTAGCTTAACACAGAGTTTCAAGATAGAGGAATAATAACACTGTTCAATGTGAAAAGTTTGTATAGAAAACAAGAAATAATACTAAGAAGATAAATATGTGAACTTTCATATGAAAAAGAGATGAATTCCTCAAAAACATTAGCTAAATTGATGTAGCATTAGTACAACAAGAAAAACATTGATAAAATTCAATTTAATAACCAGTATATCTAAGAAAGATTTAAAAACCAGCATAAATGATTTCAAATTGGGGAAGCACTTTCTCCATATAGAAATATTACAATTACAACCAATAAGGTCAAACACAAATTGAAGAAATTAAGATCTGGCTGGGTGCCAGTGACTCATGCCTATAATCCTATCTACTTAAAACACTGAGATTTGAGGATGGAGATTTGAAGCCTGACTAGACAGGACAAGTCTGTGAGACTCAATTCCAATTACCCAGCAAAAATGCCAGAAGTGCAGCTATGACTCAAATGGAAGAACACTAGCCTTAAACAGAAAAAGCTGAGGAACAGTGCCCAGGCTATCAATTAAAGCCCTGGGAACAGCAAAATAAAGATAGATAGATAGATAGACAGACAGACAGACAGACAGACAGACAAACAGACAGACAGACAGGTAGGTAGATATAGATAGATAGACAGATGGATAGATGATAGATAGGTAGGTAGGTAGGTAGATAGATAGATAGATGGATAGAGAGACAGACAGATTAGATAGATAGATAGATAGATAGATAGATAGATAGATAGATAGATAGATAGATAGAATTTTAAGGGCAATTACTACACAGAAGTTGGTTGGATGAGCCCTCCTAAACAATTATTGTATCAACTGTCCCAAACTATGAAGACAGCGTGAGAGACCTACCTAGGCAAACAAAAAGTGAGAATAACAATTCACTATCCCTTTTTAAGTCTGATCAAGTCAGGTATCTACAATATGGTGCCTTGATGCTAAGTGTTGTGCTCAGACACAGCATGTGGGGGAGAGTGACAAGAGAGAAAGGTGGAAGGGGAGGGAAGGAGAGGGAGTAGAAGGACCATGTGGACAAAGCAAACTACTGAGCACACTGGAGTTCTTTGCTTTTTTTTTTGCAAAGTATAAGGTTATATTAAAGTAAAAAACAGAAAAAAAAGAAAAGGAAAGCATTTACTGCATAATTCAGGACAAACACAAATGCCTTACTAATTGCAACGAATTGTGTTGTTCCAACAAAATCCTTCTGACTCACCATGCATTGTATTCTTGTTTATTCTTCTATTTCATTTTTGAAAAGAGCCTCTACATTACCACAAGTCTTAACAAGAGATCATTTTGCTGTTGGGATATATTCGGCAATGGTCAGATTTTTCAAATGGTCCCTTGTGGTAAATGCCTCTGACATCCAACTGGAGGAAGTGGATAGATTGCAAAGGACCCTGCAATGCACAGCATAGCCCCTTACAGCAAGAATTTGTATGCTTCAAATTCCAAGTCATAACCTTTAAAACTCCAGGTCTAAAACTGTAGATGGACAAGTCAAAAATCTACATTTAGAGTAAAATGGCTCTAAAATAATGGTGGCAGCTGCCCTGGCAATCAGCTGTTACAGAGAGTGCCTGAAGGGAGGACCTAGAACACTCTTACCCTGCAGCATCAGGCAGCAGATCACAATGAACCAGAAAGATGTGGACAGAGGCATGGGTCTATCCATGGGAGAGGCTGGGCAGCCTGGTCTCCCAGTGTGCATGGCAGGGAGTGGAGACTCTGCTAGTTACACAGCTGACCTCTCCTGGAGTCCTCAGTAGCCTACTAGAAGGGCAGGCAGCTAAGCCCAGTCTCACTATACTTATTATCCCCAACTTGGGTAAAGACCAGCAGGTTAAGCTGAAGTTGCTGTTTTATGCCAGTACTGGAGCTTGAACCCATGACCTCATGCTCTTCTTTAACTTTTTGCTCAAAGATGACACTCTACTACTTGAGCCATACCTCCACTTATGGTTATTGTTAGTTAATAGAGATTAGCCTCACAGACTTCCCTGCTAGAGCTGACTATGAACTGTGATTCTCAAATCTCAGCCTCCTGAATAGCCACCAGTGCCCAACTAAATGTGAGCACCATAACTGAGAATCATGTCTAACCAGCTCCTATAAGTCATCATCACAAGTTGAATATATAATAAATAAATATATATAATAAATAGCCATTTTCTGGCATATTGTGTTTTGTGTGGTTATATGACTAATTCACTGATTATTGTGACCAATTTGTGTTTCTTGCTATGTGAATGTACTAGTCAGGACTCTCCAAGAAACAGTATAGGCAGAATGCATAAATAATGCATTTTCTATAAGTACATGCATGTGTGTGCTGTTATTAGAATCGGCTCATTCATCATGGAGGAGGAAGACTCCAGTGATCTGCCAACCATAAGTTAGAGTGGTACATTTAGTCCAAGGCTAAAGACCTGCAAACAGGTAGAGGATCCTGTGGAAGTCCCAAGCGAAGCCCTAAGGCCAGAGAACAGGGAGCACAGATGCCCCAGGGCAAGAGATGATGTGTGTTTCTGTCCTGAGAGCGTGAATTCACCCAGCCTCTGACCATTGTTTTTCCTATTTTTTTAATGCTGGTTTTGTGGCTTGAATGTAGGATCTGGTGCTGTCTGTGAGCTTTTTTTTATTGTTTGTTTTTTATTTTTTCTGAAAACTAACATTCTATCCCTTGAGTTACTTTCCAGCCTGGGCTGGCTTTGAATGGAAATCCTCACCTATCATCCTCCTGAGTAGCTAGGATTACACTTGTAAGCCCCTGGTGCCAGGCAAAAAAGTCTCTCAGTTTTTGTTCTATCTGGGCTATGTCTTACTGGATTTTGAGGATAATGATGGGAAAGGGCTTCTTTGCTCAGTCTACTGACTCTGGTGCTCATTTAAACAATTTACCAGCTATCTGGGCAAACCTCAGGGTTGTCCATTTGGTTGTTCTTGTTTGCTTTGTTTTCCTACTACTGGGGCTTAAACTCATAGTCAAAGTGCTCTCCCCTCGTTTTTGTTTTGTTTTTTGTTTTTTTCTTGACTCAAGGCTAGAGCTCTACCACTTAACCCACAGGTCTTTTCACAGTTTTTTGTTTTTTTTTTTTTTTTAGTTAACTGGAGTTAAGCATCTCCTAGACTTTTCTGTCTGAGCTAGCTTTGAACCATAATCCTCAAATCTCAGCCTCCTGAGTAGCTAGGATTACAAGTATGAGCCACTAGTGCATGATAATGTGGTATATTTGAATAAAAAAAGTACTGTCATATTAAGTAATGAAATCTAGAATACAATCACAACTAATGGCCCTGCCCCTGATTAAACAAAACACTGTCACAGGTTCTTCTTTTCATGTTTCTATAGGACTCAAGTCAAAGGGAGACAATGATGAAACAGAGGACTTGCTTGGTGCTGGTGACTCACACCTGTGATCCTAATTAATTCAGGAGGCTGAGATCTGAGGATAGCAGTTCAAAGCTAGCCCAGGCAGAAAAGTCCTTGAGACTCTTCACTCCAATTAACCCCAAAAAGAGGGAGAGCTATAATTCAAGTGGTAGAGCACTAAGCTCAGGGACAGCACTCTGGCCTAGAGTTCAAGCACCAGGACCAGAAAGAAAAATGATTAACACAGCGTTCCACAAACACAGGGAAATTCATTGATAGTGTTGAACAGATGGAAAAGCATAAGTGCTAACCATTAACAAAATATAAAAGTCAAAGTTTCACCCTCTTTTCTAGAATGGTGAGGAATTAGCCAAGAAATATGGTGTCCATGGCAGCTAGGGAGCAAGCCTTGAAGGCATCAGGGACCAAGAAAAGATAGACTCCTGGACTTACAGAATGTGATACAGCCAAACCATGTGAGAAGCACAGAGAGGCCCAGGTCCCTGCCACTGAATCCCAACCATTTTGGGTCTTGACTCATTGGGATCTACAGCCTTTCTCATAGTAAACACAATGGCCTTTTGACGTGCATGAGAGATGCAGGCTCAGAAAAGGAAGCCTTTGTACTCTAGAATGCCTCCTGAACTGTCTCCTGTGAGTGCCTCAAAACTGAAAGCAAGAAGTCTCAGACTAGCTGGGTCCCAATGGCTCATGCCTATAATCCTAGATACTCAGAAGGTAAAGATCTGAGAATCACAGTTCAAAGCCAGTCCAGATAGAAGACTTTGAGATACTCTTATCCAGCAAAAAGTCAGAAGTAGAGGTGTGGTTCAAGTGGTTCAGTCTTGAACCAAGTGAAAGTGCAAAACTTCAAGTTGAAGCCTCAGTACCAGCACAATAAAAAATTAATTTTTTAAAAAAATTAACCACAAAAATGTTTCAAAACTCTCAGATTCTATAGAAGGCCTCTGAAACTAGCCACTGGCTCGGATTTCAGTCCATTGACAGTAGCAGTGACAATGGCTGAGTACATGCATGGAGCCAAAGGAATAAACAAAATACACAGCACAGTTTCAAGCTTTATTGAGGACAGATATAACTGGGTATTCATTCCCCAGTGGCACAGCGTCTGCCCACAAGGCGATGTTGCTCTTTCAGGGAGTGCTGGGGGCTGTGTATGCTTGGATTTAGCAGTCAAATGAGAAAGAAGAAGAAAGGAATGGGAGAGTAGGATAGTGTGTTTACAGAAGCTTTTCTGGAAGTGGCTAAGTAGAAGAAAAGACAGCCAGTAAGGCCTTGGAGAAGAGAAGGGAGTAGAAAAAAGCAGTGGGAAGACCTGGGTAACACTACAGGGAGCCAAGCTGGGCCCAAGGCCTAGGCTCCAACAGGTCTTCCTTTGCTCCGAGCGCTGCAGAGTTCTATTACTCCAACCACTGGGCCAACTTTGAAAATACAGGTCTTGGGAGGAAGCGGCTGCTCTTCATGTAGGCAGAGATCTTCTTCAGACCCTGTGAGAAGAGGAGAGCCAGAACTCAGGCTTTCTGCCCACTGGATCAGGCAGCTGCCGTCCAAGAGGAGCGTGTTCACTGCAGTCAAGTGTTGGAGCCCAGTTCAGTCTACTTACCACTCCAGCTCTGAGAAGGGAACTCTAATTTCCTGTAAGAGGGGGAGACTGGACACTGTGCAAGGTGCTTTATGCCCACTAGATATTACAATATAGGCTCAAGAAAAACACCTCAACAATCCTGCCATTATCACTGGTCAGGGGCAGCCAGAGTAGTTATGTGAGGTTAAGGATCTGTGCCTGACATCCTGTGCTCTGTGTACTCCTCCCCTCCACAGCAGACCCTATCCCTTCCTGTCCACACAGGCCTGCTCTTCTTTCACCAGGAAGCTTCTGCTCGCCCAGGTTTGCACAAAGAGGAGGGTCAGCAGGACAAAGGAGCTGAGAATTTGACAGTGTAACTTGGAAGCAAGTCCAGGACTTAACCAATGACTCAGAAATTACCACATGAAAAAGAATGCAAGACTGGGAACTGGGGACTCACCTATAATCCTAGCTACTCAGGAGGCTGAGATCTGAGTATCTTGGATCAAAGCCAGCCTAGGCAGACAAACTTGAGAGATTCTTATCTCCAGTTAACCAGCAAAATGATACATGTGGAGGTGTGAGTCAAATGGCACAGCACCAGCCTTGTACAGAAAATCAGATGAGGGCCAAAAGCTCTGAGTTCAAGCTCCACTACTGGCAAACCTCCCCCAAAAAAACAAAAAAGGAAAAAACATTCAGGGAGGAGAATCTACAAAGAAAGTCATGACAGGGTTCTGACTGGTCCCCAGTGAGCAGAAAGTGCAACATTCTCTACCTACTACACTACTGAGTACAACTACACTCCCCCTCAATCTATCTCATCACCAGCCCTCTCTCAGTTGCATTGCAAGACTTCTTTCCAGGACACAGAGTGAAGAGATAATCCCAAAGGGTTTTGCTATATCCATCCCTGTGTTTTCCCAAACACACCAGGCCTCCTGGACCTCAGGCCACTGTACTGTGCTCTCTCCCCATCCATGAGGAAGAAGGACTGGGGGGTGTCACCTCAAAGCAGGACATGAAGTACTTCAGGTTTGGGAACACATCCAGGTACTTGGGCTCATCAAGTCTGGACCAGACCACAACTGATGAGATCTTACTGAGAAATCATGATGCTTCAGAGGGAGAGGGAAAGAGAACAGATTCCAGGTAAACATAACTGTGACTCAATTCTCACATTTCTAATAAAAGAGACTTTAGGGGGTGCCCTGTGAAAAATGCGGTCCAGGCTGCCGTCTCCAGCATCCAGATGGCACATGTGCATCTTATGATCTGATATCTCTGCCAATATCTGCTATATTCAGTCCCAGGATTTGGGGACAGTTTTGCATGTCATGCTAAGACTGATACTACGCTGCTGGAGAAGATCAGCATTCATCCATGTAAAAAAAATTCAGCACAGTACAAGACACTATGTTGAAAACAAACTTTAAAACTTCGGGAGGTGGGGAAGGAGAAGGTGGGAAGGTGGGGAGGGAAGGGATGGTAGGGGAAAAACAAAGGAGGAAGTAACAATGCTCCATAGGAAATGTACTCATGTAACTGTAATCCCTCTGTACAGTCTTTTTACAATAAAATTTCTATATTTAAAAAACTCAGACCATTATGTTCCCATCACACAGACAAAAGACCTAAGATATGCAAGACAAGACACAATGATGACAGGATGAAACAAGATAACTGCAAACAACTGAAGATAAAACCTTCCAACATGTCTTCCTACATGTCTGCTCAGTCACTGACTGCAGCCCTTAGACCAAGCCAGAGGCCCACCAGGAGCCCAGCACAGCCTCACTGGCACTGGGAACATGAACGAGTGACACACTCTACAGCCTCAGGTTCCTAATCTGTCCAATGGGTCAGATTGCTCTAACCACCCTGCAGAAATGCTGTATTGATAAACTTGGCCCAATAAACACAAGTTAAAAGCACATGGGCTGCCAGAAATTCAATGTTCAGTAAACCCTAGTAATTCTGCACTCAGCTCCAGGACTAGGGAGGCATCATGGAAAGGGAGAAGGGAGGAAGTTCATCCATGAGGAAGGAGGACTGGGGGACGTGTCACCTCAAATCGGGACATGAAGTCCTTCAGGTTTGGGAACGCATCCAGGCACTTGGGCTCAAACATACGTTGCTGGTCAAAAATATCATAAGCCAGGAAATCCACAAAGGTGATCTGCAGAAAACCAAGATGAATGGGTTAAATTTTATAACCTACAGGAAAGATTAAGTTCTGCTCCCCAGGACTCCCCCCTTTACCTTGTCCCCTGCAAACCATGGACGTTTTCCCAGGAACTGTGAGAAGAGCTTCAATTTGTCAGGGAGGCCTTGCAAGTACTCTGGCTTCATCTTTTTCTGAGGCAGAAAACAGCTGTCACCATGTTATGATGCAAGCCCCACCCCCTCAGCAGAGAGGCCAATATCAGTAGGGACTGCAGGCCCCAGCTGGCCAGGCTTATGCAGCCATCTTCCCTGAGTCTGGGCCGGGGTCTGGATAGAGATTTCCACATCCTGAGTCTCGATTGTGTTGTCTAGATTCCCACTTGGTACAGATCCCAGCTATCAGAGGTATTGGGAAGTGAGACACAAATGCAACACATGCTGGAATCCACTGCTGTTCAACCTGGTTCATGTGAGTCAGAGCCAATGGTTTCCAAGTACCTCACAGGTACTCAGGTAAACAGATATAATGCAGTAGAACCAAAGAGGCAGATGACTAGAAGACTGAAGGTGAAAAAACAGTGGTATATCTCCATGTTTATTGCAGCACTGTTCACAATAGCTAGGTATGGAAACAACCCAGATGCCCCACCACAGATGAATGGATCCAAAAATTGTGGTATCTATACACAATGGAATATTATGCAGCCATTAGAAATGACAAAATAATGGCATT